TCCTGCTGGCCAAACACCCCGCCTCCCTGCTGCTCATGCCCGGATAGGTGCTGTGACATAAAGTTTGTACATAAAAACAAAACTTCCACTTTAAGTCCTTTTTTTTGAAAGGATGTTACAAGCTTGGCATCGCACCCTTTGGCAGTCGAAGAACATTATCATTGAAAACTTGGTTTTTGGAGACGTTACTGCTTTCAGGGAAGTCACAGCAAAAAGATGGAATTATGTGTCAGTGAATAGAAACAGCATCTAACATTTTACAAGTTAAACTAAATAATACATATGATTTACAATCAAGAGACAACAGACAGTTGATCACACAGTATGTCTTACACATTTCCCTCCCCCAGAAATACCCACACAAACCCCCCCAGACGTAGCCCTGAACCGTGTATGGTTTTGAAAAAAGATGGAACTTTTACTGAACAACATGGTTAAAGAAGGAAAACCAACAAAAGACAGTTTATACGGTTTCTCCCAATTCATCACGGGCATCTGTAAAATGTAGATTCATAAATGAAAACAAAGCAGTTAATAAAATTGGGTCCAGTGTTATTTAGAGATCTTCAAAGTAGTTCAGATATTTTGAATGTAACTATGCCGACTCTGCATGTTCTCCATGATTTATAACTTCATGATTAAGTCCCTCCCACTGAGTCACGCCTCCTGTCCTCAGTCTTATGTAAGTTTCTTTGGACTTGTTTGCATTTAACGGATATAACTTTGAGCAAATTATCATGAGAAGTTTCTGTTCATCTTTTTTTTTCTTTTTTTTTTTTACATTTTAGACGGCGCTGATGTTTTCTTTCCACATTTCAAACTACGCAGGCCCTGGATCCCCCGGGGGTTGCATGGAGAATGTTTCTCAACACTCTCATACATCTTCACCTTTTTCCCCTCCTGCCTCACTTTACTCAGTTGCAGCTCCCTGACGCCGGTGATAGCGAGAGACTAGCTAATGGCTGTGGTGTTGAAACGGGGGGGGGGACCGTGTTAGATCAGGGCACAGCGAGGGCAGCTCTCTGGGGCACCCAGGGGCTCGTTTTAGCGGATGGGTCCTCCTGAAATAGAAGGGCAGACGGGCTGGAGGGTATGATTCCAACCTGTTAGCAGCCTTCTCGCCCAGCCTGATAAATAATGCAAGGTCAAATGGGGCAGAGAGGGGATAGTTTTTAAGTACCTGAGAGGGCAGAGCTGAAGGAAAGTGATGCTGAGGAAATGAGTGTTTTGAGCCGCGGAGGCGCTTACTCAGGTGGTGGAGACTGCAGGCTGGTCGGACTGTAGCGTGGGAGTGAGTGAGGGAGTGCGGTAAACAGATGGAGTTTTTGACTGAATTATTTTTGGTCGCTGGTTTCTCCATTTACTTGCTCAGAGTTTTTTTTTTTTTTGTCTTTCGCCCACCCAGAGGTGAGCGCACCCTGCAAACTACTTCACATTCAACCAACCCGGCCTCACACACACACACATGCACACTTTTCTTCCCGTCCTTACAATGTTACAAAGTTGTATGTGTGTGTGTGTGTGTGTTCTGTGTGCAGAAGTGTGAATGTAACACACTTTGTAAGATTTACAGCTAGTATAGAAAAGCAGCTTCATAATGTGAAAAGCAACTGGATGTGAGTGTGTGTGTACACAGCAGCGGGATGATGAGAGTGTTCTCTCTGCGAGCCATAAAACTGAGCTGTTAGGGGAAATAAGTATACACAAAGACAGAGACACAGATGTTTTTGGTGACTGGAAAAATGAAAGGTCATTTATTGTTTATCTATCTCTGTAAACGTCTGCAACATTGATTACACATTTTCTTAACATGGGCGGTTAACTATTGTAAGTCTGCCATAGAAACCCTGTGCTTATACCCTGACAATATTTGCTTATGATGATGTCATTTACTGGAAAATCTTGAAATGCTTCACACCTCTCTGTAGAGTCTAAACTTAGATTTTGCAAGTATATAAGTGAATCAACCCTTATAATGAATGTACATATTGAGATCGTATCATAAAATATACCACAAAAATACCCACACATGGTCCCAAACATTTTTAAATGAATAAACAAAGTATTTCTAGACAATCCAGAACTTATTTGAACTTACTTTGTGCATTTTGTATTTTGTTAGAAGCTCATCTTTTTATGCAGAGTGAAGATGTTTTGTAAGTTGAATTTTCATTTCAGGTTGTGACGTCTCTCTGTTCTTGCATTATCCTTTAAAAGCACCTCATGCAGAATTGAAAGATTATGTAAGTTGTGTAAGTTATACTGCAGCAAGCAAAGTTTAATTATATTATATCAAAGCAGAATTATGCAAACATCGATCTCCAATTGCCAGATTTTGGAGCTTCCTTTGGTCTGCATCTTCCCCCCTCACACATTTTAAACTGCATGTGCTATCATTGTGTAAACCACATGATGAAGCAAAAGAAGGCAGGAGGATGATGGAATGAAAGCTCAAGCTATTATGGTGTGATTGCAGGTATTGAATTTAAGAAGACCACGTTTAAAAAAAAAAAAAAAAAAGATCCCATCGCCATCATGTCTTCAAATTCATATTCCAGTCATAATTCCTTGGCCGGCTGTGCTCTTGCTTTTCTTTAGTCTGAAACTAAACCCCCGGTCTGGAGAGCTGAGGGTTTTGTGTTCTGGACACGCTTTAAGACAGCGGTGTGTTTTTGAGTGTGTGTTTCGGAGCCAAAGTGTGAATGTGGAGGCCTCCTGGACGGCGGCGAGAGCCTGTGTGTGATAGCGATCTCGTTCAGATGAACTGTAGCCGTGCGGGGGGAGAAGGTCGGGCTATCTCGTGATCCCAAGTGGCGGCTCTGCTAGGACACGTATCACAGCGTGACAGACTGCTCCTACGGGCGCGCACACACACACACACACACACACACACACACACACACAGACAGCAGTGAACAGAACAAGCGCTGGTCTGGCCGATCGCCGACATGCTTTATGGATGAGCGTATTTGCCGAGGTCTCCCTCTCCACACCGCAGTGTCAAGTAACCAGATGAAGACTGGCACGGCCCCCACATCCTGCCTTTCTCCGCCTACATATGGTTTTCACATATGTCTTCTTCTTTTTTTTCTTTTTTTTCGTTGTTTGGATTAGCCTGCCAAGGTCAGACGTAGGGCAGCCGCAGAAGGCCTCCACCACTTTGAGCTCTGCCCCTCGACTGTGCCGCCTGCTGTCGTGTACTCGGCTAACCCTCCAGCTTTGAAGGAAAAGCTCCGGGGGCTTTTTGCTTAACTTACATCATGTTTCTTTTACTCCCCCCATCCTGCAGTTTGACACACATTTCATACCCATACACAAAGGCTTGCATGCGAGTGTGTGTGTGTGTACCCCTCCCTCCCCTCTCGCAGTTGATCTTCTTTTGACAGACATATGACCTTGACTTTCCCCTCTGTGATGTTTTATAGAGAGTGGCGCTGCTCTCTGCTGCTGTCACCATCTCAAAAGATAGATGAATGTTTGGGTGGAGGAAAGCAGGCGGGGATGGACAGATGATAGAGACATCAGCTTTCATGGGCGGAGGAGGGCCCGTTTGACGTCTCTCTTACGCCCACCTTTTATAGGAACCCAACACAGAAACCCCAAAAACCATTAACCGATGCCTGGTTATGGTTTTGTCCAACAGGATCTGATGAATTAAGCAGAGTCGGGGCGATCTTTGGCCCACTTGGGTCAGTGAGGGTCATTTCTCTTATATAAGTCATTACTGTGCTTTTTCCCCACTGTTTTTGTAGTGAGGTGGTCCCGGGCTCAAGTTCAAAGCTTTACTGGAGGAATACATCATTCATCAGGAGAAAGAGGAAAGGAAAACACGGCTAAGGTTTCACAAAGGTCTAATAATATCAGGCAATAACTCTTAACAGTTGTTGTAACCTTATCCTACATATAATCAGTAGAGGATGACATTTATCTCATAACATGATATATTATCCAATGAGTTCTGCATTTTTCACATTTTACAAATTAAATATAGAGAAGTTATTTATTTCCAATTAAGATTTTTGTAATTTTGTTCCCAAGCTATGAAACACCAAGCTGAACGTGAGGGTTTCTACAAAGGCACTCCTGAAAAACTCCAGGCTTTAATCATTCTGAGTTAGTCGTTCAAAAGATGCACATCACAGTGACAGACTTCACTTGTCAGACGGGGGGGGGGGGTCTCAAGAGGAAGGACATGACGTTAACAGATCGACGCAGAAATGGTGAACAAAGAAAGTCCCCCGCTGTGATGACAATTTTTCGCTGTGAAATCAATGCGAGTGTAATTCGACACCACAAGTATCAACAAAATCCCCATTGGCTCACCTTGACTTCACATGGATTATTTTTTTTTTTCTTCGGGGCTCTCAAGAACAATTCTGGTTAAAAGTTCAGTTGAGAAATTAGGGAAGTGTTGTGTTGACACATGCAGCTCACCTTGCAAAATGTGGGAAATATTCAGGAATTTTCTGAAGATGTAAAAACATGAAACATGTTTCCTTTTGAAAGCAGGAAAATTGGCAGAAGTTTGGCAATGTCATGTGACAGCTAGCTTGTGGTTTCTGTTCATCATGAGGGCGGGACATTGACATATGAGACAGCAGTTCATTGGAAAAGCAGGATGAGTCATCGACATTGTCTTTGTTTTTCAGGAAATGAAAGGAAGGAAAGAACTCTCAGATATCATTAAGACTAACTACAATCATTGTTGTTTTCACTAATTGGCCACACACTGGAGTGACACTCAACCCAGGACATATATATTATGATGATATTAAATCATGTAGTTTGATTTCATGGGAACTTAAAACTTAACTATCTGGAGTATCTCCACCTGCCTGAATCTCCCAGCAGCTCTCTGACAATGATAGATTGTCTTGCAAATATTGTTTGACCCACGTCTGTCTTACCTGCCAATCACTCTCCTTCTGTTTTCCCCTTCCGGCTGTCACACTGGTATAAATAGCAATCATTGACCTGTTTTGTGTGTCTGTGTTTCTCAGATCCGCGTTGACGGGCCTCCTCATGGCGGCGTCCAGTACGAGACGATATCAGTCATCAAGGACGGCAGCCCCGTCCTGCGAGACATGGCCTTCTCCCTCGACCGCAACTACCTCTACGTCATGTCGGACCGACAGGTAAGACGCATATAGCACCTATTGCTGGCGATACAAGTGCCTTTTAATCTGAGGATGTATTGTTTCAGGGTGTTGGTGTGTGTGTACATGTTTAAATGTCAGGAGAAGTGTGAATTTGTGTGTGTGTGTGTGTGTGAGCTCCAGCAGGGCCCGAGATGGCCCACCTCTCAACATCAGCAGCACCACCACCCTCTGTTAGCTATAAATAACCCGGGTGGCACAGCGGGGGGCGTTGTGACAGCGTTTGATAATGAAGGAGAACAATGAGGGCAGGGAGGAGGAATGAAATGGAGACACAAGGAAAAAGACAAGGTAGAATGAAAGCGAGAGAGAGAGATAGATGAAGGGCATTTGCTGGCTGGCTGAGGCAGAGGATGAGAGGAAGAGTGATGAAGGAAAGAGGGGGCAGCTGGAGGAGCGTGTGACTTAGACGTGGAGTAAAGAGAGAGACGCCGAGAAGAAGAAGAGAGACAGAGTGCAAGGTCATCCTTTCACACTTCTAATGAAGTGACACAGCATCGCGGTGCGGGGTGGGGAAGCAGCCGATAGCCATCAATGCAGCTGACATACTAAGTGGGGAGAAGAGGCGAGGACGACAAGGGTAGAGGAGGACACACGGAGAGAGTGGAGGTGAGGAGATGAGAGGAGAGGAGAGGGGAAACATGATAGGACAGAAAAAGAGATGAAAAAAGTGAGGAGAGGAGGAGCAGCTGCAGGGGAGCGTGGCAAGCGCAGAAGCCCCCGAGACAAGACGACGTGCCAGGCTGTCAGAGTGAGGTGATAGATTGCCGTCCTCTCTGCTTTATCTCTGCTTTTAACACACTCAACAACCGGCTGGACGCAGCGCACAGGTTAGGAGCCACGGTGGGGGCGAATGTTGGTGTGAAGGAGGAAACGAATGTACTGTAATCTGCAGCTGCTTTCTCCACTCAGCCTCTGTGACTAACACACAGCTGTGTGATATGATGATTTCTTTTAGTCCACTCTGAAAAGAAGTACTAAAAAGTTTCTCTGACAGTTGCCTGCTGTGAGAATAAAAATATAACAATCTCAAATGGTTTCAAATCCCCCTTTTATTAGCTCCGCTCTTCAAGCAACGTTTCTGCTGAGACTTTTAATGATACGATTACGGAAAATAGTATTTGAACAGATATTAGGGCCAAATCCCAGCTCGCTCTTTTATCAAGAATAATATGTTACAGATAGCAATAGCTTGGGACTAGGGGACCTTCCAGCGAAATCATTTTCTACTTTATTAAAAGTTGTTCGACTAAACCATAAAGACTGTATCAAAAAAGATGGACAGGGCACCTCGATGTCCCCCTGGTGTATAAAGATGAAGCCAAAATACCCCTGTGGTGGGTGCTGAGCACTAGGATCCGGCTGGAAAAGTCGAGGTATTAACATCACGCTGCTTGTTGACTAAAAATGCACATTTAACTAAAGAGCCCTCAGGTCATTAAAGACCACAACAGAACAGATTCTTGTGGGTTTTTTTTGTAAAGATAAAACTCACAGATATGGAAATTCAGTGACTCTCGTGTTGGTGTTTGTCATGTTTCCTCTTTCCGTTCCTTCCCTACTCTGCTCATCCGGTGCACACAGCGCTGCAGCAGTGCAACTGAGCTGTCAAACAGGACATTCTTTAATGTTTTCATGGTGTCACATGACTATCAACAAACTTTATCAGAAAAAAACTGATTTGAATACTAATTTGTTACACCTATGTCCCATCTGTTTACACGGAGGAGGCGGGGTTTATGACCTGAACTGCAGCCACAGGCAGGATGAACTGTAGATCTTTGAGCCTCACAAAAGCGAGGTGTTGCGCTGGCCATTCTTTATACGTCTGTTAAACCAATGTTTGGATCTGAAAATATCTTCAATTCTAGCTAGCTGACTACTACAGACTATGCTAACACCTAAAGTGATAACATTATTGATTTTAATGTTTTGGAGGGGGGAATGAACACTATTTAGACAAAGTTGACTTTTCAGTTTTTAGTCATCTGAACTGTAGTTAGGACACCATTGGGACGTTGGGACAAGCTGGTTTGGTTAGCTTTAGCATTGCATTTGCCTGCTAACTAGTGAGCTAACTTTCAGCAACAACCCATCCAATACAAACTTGGCCGACTTCAACTTCTTTAACCAGTTAAGCAGAATATTAGGGGACAGCATTATCTCATATATGCCTATGGATATCATCAGGATAAGCTACGGTCACACACATGCTCTTTGTATTCAAACATTTATCTAACATGAGGTGATGAGTCTGTAGCATTTCAAAACACAGAGTCCACAAGTAGAGAGGCGTTTGCACTAAGTCTGCCTTCTATATTTACTCAATCCTTTATTTCCACTTATTCTGCAGATGAAACAAGCTTTTGATGTGGAGCACATAACTGCTCGTCCTCAGAATGAGCTGATTCTGGTGAATATTATTAGTATTCAGCATGTAGACTCTTCTGTTTTGCTCTCCAGGGGTTGCGGGGGGTGGGGGGGGGGGCTCCTTTAGGGATGTTGCCCTGCATGTTCAAGGATACGATTCGGTAGTCACACCTGGCGGAGTAACTGGATTGGGATTTAGCATGGCTGCATACTTATTTTGTCATACCATGGTAATTTTGACAGAAACTACATGTTTTGTGTGTGGACACTGAAACAACCTTTAATTAACTGTATGAGGAGCTCGCTCTCAGAGAATCTGTGCAGCCCTCATTTTAAATGTCAGTCATTTTTATTTTTATTCACTTTAAATCTGGATGGAAAGGATACGCATTGCTATGTCTCCGAGGGCGTGAAGCCAAACTTTTTCACCTAGGACGGCCAAATCTGGGTGCTGACCTATGCAAAGGTGGTGTGGAAGTATGTGTGTGCAAACACACCAATCAATAGCTATTATATATCTTGTCTCCAGTATTCATAGCCACTTTACCTCCTGACATTAAAAAATATTATATTCCTGTGCATATATATATATTTTTTGTTGGATAGATAGGACAGTGGATAGAGTCGGAAATCAGGGAGAGAGAGTGGGGAATAACATGCGGGAAAGAAGCCACAGGTGGGAAGTGAACACGGGTAACATGACAGTGGCAACATATAGATCTTTTGGCTTAATTCTGTAAGGGCTCAAAAAGAAGAAGTGTACAATGTAAAAATTCTTACAATGGTAAATGGACTTGAGTTTATATAGCACTTTTCTAGTCTTCTGAATACTCAAAGCGCTTTTACACCGCCTGTCACACCCACTGATTCACACACTGATGGTAGAGATCACTGTGTAGTATCAACCATCAGAAGTAACTAATCCCATTCATACACCGAGAGGCAATGACTCTACCAACTGAGCCACAGCCGCCACAATAGGAAATGCATCACTTTGAAATGCAAAGAAAAGCTACAGCCCAAATAGTTGATTAATAATTAATTCTGCCTCCATAAGGCAAATAGCCAATTATAGTTCAGAAATGAGGGGTGGCCCCTGGGTTAGTCCAATCAGATTTCAGTGTTGGCCCTGGCCATGTCTCTAGTTTGATTGCCATGGTTTGTCGTTTAGGATATTTCCTCATAGACACCTACAATCACACTTCTGTTTGCAACCAGTCTCGTCTCCTCTTGCTGGATGTTAGACAGATGGCAGTTTTTAGGGAACCTCAATGTTTGAATATTTTTTAAAACCAAGTGGATACATCGACTTCTTATAATAGTCTGTGGTACCGTGTTGAAAGAGTACAAGCTCTATACACTCTACAGTACACAGAGTGGGGATTTCAAACCCCGCCCTTTCACACTGTGGCGTGCAGCGAGGAAGATCAGTTTGACCTTTATCTTATCATAAGCCTAAATGTCACCTCGAGCTACATCTGAAGTCAGACATCCAGGACGTCATGAGATCCATGTTGTCTGAGCTCCGCTTGTTCCCATGTGTCTGTCTGATGCCGTTTCGAGGCCAAGCACATGGTGATGGGAGACGGTAAGAACAAAGGAGGGATGATATCAAACAGAATGCAGGGCAGATTTGGCTCCAGTTGCATTTCCTACTCTGAATAACAAAGAGGCCCTGTGTGTTTGGCACAGTGGGAAAGAGAGAATACAGATAGACCATGGGCGAGAGAGAGAGAGAGAGAGAGAGAGAGCCAGACTGTGAATGAGGAGTGAGAGAGCGAGATTGGGAGAGAGGGAGTGTGAGTAGTATTTGCTCAGCGAGGCCGTGCTCCACAAGCTGGGCTGTCGGTCCCTCTCTCTCTCTCTCTCTCTCTCTCTCTCTCTCTCTCTCCCGTCCTCACACCTGCCTGCGCGTGTTGTTGGTGAAGCTGAGAATCGTGGGATGTGTGAGGGCCATTGTAAACACAAACATGCATACAAGCACCCACAGGGACACACACAGACCCACTCGCGCGCACGCACACACACGCGCATACTCTCTCCAGTGTTCATTTGCATCGCTACCGACATAATGCACTGGCTCTTGCAATCACATGAGGGAAAAAACTATAATTACACACACATGTGAGCACCAGCCTTACATTCAGTATTCAAATGGAGTTTCCATAAGGCTTTCTGAGGCTCTTCATGTTGCTTTTTTTCCCCTCTCACCCACACATGTATACATCACACCTACTGCATATGTATAGATATTCTTCAGTGTCTGACTATTACAGTGTGAAAGAACTTTCTGCTCCCTCTCGTTTCTTATTTCTTCCTCCTCACACTCCCACGCCAGACGCCGTCGTTCGCTCCCCCCCTCCCCCTCCCAAACATATTTTAATAGCTCCCTGTTTCATATTCGATCCGTTCTGCCGCCATGTTAAACTGTGCTTTTGTTTGGTAGATGTAATGACAATAGCATCCACACTATTAATGATGTGCTGAGATTGACCCAGTGCGAGGCAGCGCAGTGGAACTGATGAAAAGACCTGGCTCACTGACTTTCTCTTCTCCAGGAGCAGTGTGAGCGTGTGTGTGTGCGCCTTCCTGTAGGGTGCTGTATCATT